ATTTTGGCACGCGGAAGAGCGTCTCCGACCGTGAAATTGTGAATAATGGACCAATCTCAACAGTGCCACCTGTTGTGGTTAGTACAATTACGTGTTCAAATTGTACCAATCTTGCTTTTCAATTTCTCCTATTCGACTCGGCTTCCTCTTTCTTTGCCTATCAAGCCACATAGCTTCAAGTAACAATCTAAATTCTAAAATATAAACCATGTGTCATATATCTTTAGAAAAAAACTTATTTTTTTATTTAAAATTACTTTTCTTTAAATCAGATTATTTTTTTAGAACACTACGTTGATATGTCTATGAATTAAAAACATCAAATGATTTTTTATTTAAAATTACTTTACACATGTTTGAATTTTTTTAATGTTTAAATATATTTTTAATTTTTATAAAATGAGTTAATTTTGATTTTGGTTTCTAAATTTTTTATTTTTATTTTTCATTATTTTAATTTTTGTAAATATTATTTTTGTATTTTGTAAAATGAAAAGGTTTTAATTTATTCTCTGTAAAATATTTTTTCTTCGATTCTCATTCCTATAAAATTTAATATTGGAAACCAAAGATTGTCTTTTGGATACACCATTTTTCATAATTTTTTCCATCAGGAATGGGAAGATGATCGATTGATGAAGTGATAGCCTCACTTAAAAAAGAGAACATCACACAACAACTCTTGTTATTTTTAATATGACATATACATCGGTTTTACAAAATAAAAAATAAGTATTGTTTCATAAAAAATATCAAAGTCTAAAAGGATTTTTCATGAGAAAATAAATGGCCAGTATTTTTTTTTTGTGATTTATCTTTTGGTTATGGTTATGTTAGAAAAAGAGTTTTTGTGGCGAAGCACGTGGGCATGAGTGATGAGTGAGCCGAGGGTGGAGTAAAGTAAAAAGTGGTAGTTGACAATTGGCAATGGAGAATTGAGAATTTGACATTTTTTGCTTTGGATATTTCTGTAAAAGCATAAATAGGGAAAGTAATAAGACCATTGAGAATGATAACGGCACTTACTTGGAATTGGGTCCCTCCATATTCTTTTTCTGCGTCCATCCTACGCGACCCATATTCATATTCCTTTTATTACAACGCTCGCCAACCATTCATGTCTCCACGACACCACAACATCTGTCTTTTCTTTTTTTATTTTTCAATTTTAATAATTTTAACTCTTTTATAACTTAATAAATTAATATCCCTTTCTTTATATTTAAAAATCAGTATTTTAAAAAAACAACATTCTAAGATATTAAATTAATATATTAAAAAATATTTCTTTAATAATTTTTATCAGTTATTAAGTTATTACTTCACTCAATAATTCATGTTCTATATCAAATTTTAATGATTCAACTGTTAAATTAAGTTTTAAAAAAATTGAAAACTGCATGATAAATCATTTTATTTATTCAAATTGATGGATAATTATAAAAGTATTTTATATGTTGATTTGAATTAATTAAACAAAGTATTAGATAATTTTTAAATTCTTTAAAGATTTACAAATTTGTTCTATATATTAAAAACTTTTAATTTTATGATTAGATTATAAATTTGATATAAAAAATAAGTTATTGAGTTGAGCAAGTATAACTATACTTATTTTTAAAATAAGTGGATCTTTCATCTCCTATCCTCTCTTTCCTTATCTATCTATCTATCTATCTATTTATATATATATATATATATAAAAGAAGGGATTCATTTACTCCATGAGTAGGTCTACTTAGACTTACTCCGTTCAATAACTCATATTCTACATCAAATTTCAACTATCCAATCGTTGAATTTAAAATTCTTAATGCATAAATCAAATTTGTAAATTTTTTAATAATTTAAAAATTATTTGATACTTTGTTTCATTAATTTAAATCAATGTATAAAATGATTTTATGATTATTCGTCAATTTTAATTAATGAAATAAAATATCAAATGATTTTCAAATTTTTTAAAATTTTACAGACTTGATATATACATTAAAAACTTTAAATTCAATAGTTGAATCATTGAAATTTGATGTAGAACATGAGTTATTCAATGGAGTAAGCCTCTCAGAGTAAACGGATCCCTCCTATATATATATATATATATATATATATATTTGTGTGTGTGAGTGTGTATAGGGATTGTTAACATATTTTTGCCTATTTTTTATTTAGAGTATGTTAGCAATGAAGACCAAAATTTTAAAACAATAAAACCATTCATTTCTTTTTATTTAGGCTATGTTTCTCAAAAAGTTATGTTCAGCGTAACTTACTTTTAATCAAATGGAAGAAAAAAGTATTTATACGTTTTGTGCATTTGAATGTGTAAAAGTTCGTTGAATGTTTTTCAAATGATAAACCAAGCACACACTTAATTAAATTTTATCGAGGATATTATAGTAATTTAAAATTCAATTTATTTAAAAATAAATATTTTTCTCTCTCCTCTTAACTCTCTTCTTTGACTCGTTTCCTTTTTTTTTTGACTCGTTTCCTTTTTTTTTTTTTCTTATCTCTTATAGTGCCTTTATTTATTCTCTTTGTAATTGTAATACATGGATTAAAAGGTTAAAATGGTTGGCTTCTTAGTAGAATTCCCTTATGTGTAATCAAGTCCCAATTTAACCTTGGACTCAAACATGGTGAGAAAATATATGCTAATTGTTAATAGATGATAACATTATGTTAATGTTAATAACAAAGAATTTTGCCCACTTTGGTGTTTGCAGAACGGTGAATGCAAATAAAGTATATGAATTTATGCAAGAGCAAAATCCATGACTTAACACTACTTAATAAGAAGCTATGAAATACAATGGTGAATGGTCAGAAAAAAAGTGTTACAAGTTAGATGTTTGTTGGTTATTATGATTTCGATTTTAGTTTTCTTCAAGTTATATTAATTAAAGGTTACTTTAAAGAGAAGGAGGATGGCATCAATGCAGTGAAAAAAGATATGGTATTCAGAAAAAAATGGAAGAGAAGAGAGAAATAAATGGAGGAAGAGAGAGAACAAGTGAGACAAAAGAGAGGGAAAGTTAGTTAAGGAATGGAGTTAAGAAAGGAGAGAAAATGTTTTAATTTTTTTTTTAAATAAATTAACTTTTAAATTATTGTAATATCCTTAATACAAATTAACTAAATAAATGATAATATACTCCTACTTAAAAAATAGGTGAGAATAACTTTTGATAGAGTTTACTTAATAACCCATAATCTATATTGAATTTAACAATTTAACCATTAAATTAAAAGTTCTTAATGAATACATTAAGCTTATATTTTTTTACTAAATTTTAAAACTTTTATATTTTATATCTTGTTACATTAATTCAAATTAATAGTTATTCACAAAAGTATATTGTGCACTAATTTAAATTCATATAATAAAGTATCGAATAATTTTTAAATTTTTTAAAAGTTTATAGAATTAATTTATTAATTATTTTTTAATTTAATAATTAAATTATTAAAAGTTAATATAAATTATTTAGTAAAATAATTATATCATGAATTACTTTTAAAATAATAAAAAAAATTCTTCTCTATGAATAATATTAATGGTTGTGATTTGATGAAGATATAATAATGTATAGCGAGGCATACTTTTTTTCCTCTTATTATTATAATATTTTATATAATAGAGATAGTGGATGAAAATCAAAGTTCTTTATTCTTTTTCTTTTTCTGGAAATCTCTTTTCCATCAATAGGTTGCTTGATTTTAAACTCAACGATCAGGAAATAACGGGTATTAATTTAGATAATATAGTATTTCGAATGTCCTTGATAGTTAATTTGGTTTAAAATGAGATAAAGGAAGTTGAAGTATTTTAATAGATGAAAAAAAAAAATCTTTTCTTCTCTTATTTTTTTTTTAATTGAGAGAGTTAGAGAAAGAAGGGACAGAACAAAGTTTCTTTATGTGCTTTAGTCGAAGAGAAGAAAAAAAATGTATAATTTCACATTGTTTTATCAAGGAGAAAAAAATGGATTAATTTACTTTTATTAATATATTCTTAGTTTGCATTATCTGAGGATAAAAAATAATAGCACATTAAATTTGTAATATACTCGTGTAAAAAACAATGGTAATTTATACTATCATAAATAAGAGTGAAGGAAATGAGAAGTTGTATATATCAACATAATTTAGAGTATATAATATAAATATTATAAATCTATTTTATTTTTTCATAAATCCCCAAAAATAGATGGGAGGAATTTTAGCTAGCCCTTTCTCTTCCACTCTAATTTTTTAAACTAAATAACGTAAAAAAATAATAATTAAAAATCCCTCCTTTTCTTTTCTTTGAAACCAGATACATTGTAATCTGATTTTAAATTGGTTTAAATTTTAAAATATAAATTCAAAAGACATTTTACTTTTTCTCATTGCTACTTAGAGAACACGATCAAATCAGTTCTCAAAATTATATATCATTTTAATTTAATTTTTATTTTAATGAAACTCAAAAAAATCACTGAAAATATAATTTATCCCTCATTTGAGTTCCTTTATTAATAAACTTTATTTTCTTAAATGGAAGTATCATGTGACACACGTGGTTAATGATTAATACATGATACATATATCAAGTGACACTGTTATATAAGTGTGTCACATAGCATAAATGTAACATGTGATTTATGATTATAAAAAATATTCTTTTAATCACTCAAACTAACATAATGTCACTTTAGTTTCTAAATTTTAATTTGATATAATTTTAGTCTCGAACTTTATCATAATTTTATTTTAATTAAGTAATTATGACTTGAGTATTTTCATAAAAAAATAGATAATTAAATTAATATTGTAAATATGATGATAAATATGTTCAAATCATGTTAAAAATATGGTCTTTAGCATTGTATAAACTCTTATATATAGCACACGAACAATTATATTGTGCAATAACGCTTTTAGAGACTTATTTCCAAT